CAGGATTCTCCTGAAGACAGACACTGTACACTGCTTTAACCACCTGAGTGAGCCACGACTAATGCATGCCATCAATCATCCTGTCTGCCTCCTCAATAATCTACAACATACACATTGTAAATCTGTCTTCACACTTTCTATACAGAAAATAAAAAATATATTATGATAGAGACTTTATTGCTATTTAATTCATTTGTATTAAATGCCATTTCAATCTTAAAGGAACAGTTCACTCAAAAATGAATAAACAAATCCATCATTAAGGCGCTTTAACTTTAAACCGTTGCTTCTGGCCAAAATACAAGTATATATAATCCATAACAGTGAAAAACTCCATCCCCTGTTGTCTCTCACATCAAAATCCACTGACAAATTTGTTTAGAGCTGTTTCGGACTGTTTTCACTTGTAAATAGTGCTTGATCTGTGCAGATTTCTCTCCTGATTCAGAAGAGATGACTTTTTCACTGGAGAAAGCAATTTTATAGAGAGAGGACTCATATTTTACACACAATGGTTAGAAGTTAATAATATCTTGGTGGATTTGTTTCTTACAAACAGGCAGCTTTTTGCTTCACAAGTCATTAACTGATGGACTGGAGTGCTGTGGATTATTGTGATGTTTTTATCAGCTGTTTGGACTCTCATTCTGACGGCACCCATTCACTGCAGAGGATCCATTGCTGAGCAAGTGGAAGAAACAAACTACTGTATATATCATCTATATATTGGATGGCCTGAGGGTGAGTACATTTTCAGCTAATTTTCATTTTGGGTGAACTAATCCTACACTACCGTTCATAAGTTTGGGGTCAGTCCATTTTTTCAAAAGCTTTTAAAAGAAGTCTCTTCTGCTCGCCAAGACTGCATTTGTTTGATCAAATACATTAAAAACAATAATACAGTGAAATTTTATTACAGTTTAGAATAACTGATTTCTATTGTAATATATGTTCAAATGTGTTTTAATTCTGTGATCAAAGCTGAATTTTCAGCATCATTACTCCAGTCTTCAGTGTCACATGCTCTTCAGAAATCATTCTAATACGC